CTCTCTCTCTCTCTCTCTCTCTCTCTCTCTCTCTCTCTCTCTCTCTCTCTCTCTCTCTCTCTCTCTCTCTCTCTCTCTCTCTCTTGTCTCTCTACCGATCCTGGCAAAAATGGGATCACGTAAGAGAAGCATGCAGGTTTCTTTCCCCCAATGGCTCTCAGTATCCGGATGAATCGTCACAACACAGACATGCATCCCACAGCTGCAACCTGTCTCAGACACACCAGTGGCTCAGACACATTGGTTGCTAAGGAAGACACCGATTCGCTTAGAAACGCACACAAGTTCACTTTGCAACAGATAAGTTGGCCTTAGAAACAGGTGGCTTAGAAATACAGTCAATTAACAGGGCGATGGATGGCCTTGAGATATCATCATGAACCTGACCAGCCCAATGTAGTTCCGGAATTTCGTTCATCTAGTTCCATCTACATTAGGAACAAAAAAAAAAAGAAGAAAAAAAAACGTTCCATCTGGATTCGAACACAGGGGGTCGAGGACAAATGGAATGGCAGTAGCGCACACTCTTCTCTATTTAGTTCCATCTAGTTCCATCTAGTTCCACCTAGTTCCATCTAGTTCCACCTAGTTCCATCTTGTTCCACCTAGTTCCATCTAGTTCCACCTAGTTCCACCTAGTTCCATCAAGTTCCATCTCGTTCCATCTAGTTCCATCTAGTTCCATCTAGTTCCATCTGGATTTGAACACAGAGTGGTCAGAGGGAAAAACGAAAGCATCCGCACACCGGGAGTCCTTTTTCCGCGGCTGAGCCCCAGGACAGGATTCCCTGTTGATTGGGTGGGCAGGATTAAGCGAGAAGAGAGAGGGTGTGTACCTGCGTATCGTGCCTGAACGGTGAACTCCTGCGGTCCATACCCCTTCCTCTGCCCCACCCAGCTCCTTCCCTCCCTTGCCTCTCACTCGCCATGTCTCTCTCCCTCTCCTTTCGCCTATCCCTCTGCCTTTCCGTCTCCCTCCCCCAAAATCGGTGGCAGCTACTGCCATAGCTCGGTCGTCCCCCACAGGAACTGCTGCCACGAACTTGCCAGACGGGTGCTGACGAAGGCATGTCAGACTCCAGGGAGCCCCACGGCCCAGCAGCAGACTGTGAGGACCCTGGCGGTGCTTCGCGGCGATCAACCGTGGAGATGACACCATTCCGTAGTCCGCAAAGGAGTACTTGGCCCTGCATCCAACACGTGAATTATGACGTTAATCGTTTACAAGTTACAACTTTTATTTTATGTTTGTTTATGTTTAATGATTTAAAAATCTTAATGCTAATCTTCTCTGTATCATTAAAATTTAAAGGATGGCCCGATGGACAATATTAATCATTTATTGAGTACTCAGTGATACTCACATCAAATTGAGTACTCAGTGATACGACACGGTGTACCCGACCACACTCATCCCCACACGTCTCACAGCCACCCAAGCACAAATGGCTCACTTCCAAACTTTTGACACTTAGTATAGCGAACACGACAACGCACACACAACCACACACACACACACACACACACACACACACACACACACACACACACACATGGCTTCTTTGAAGTTCTTTCCCTTCTCTATTGACTGCTAGAGGGCAGAGGAGGAATTATTATGATAATTAGGAGGAAGGAAGAGGAGGGAGTAGCAGCATATGGGCGGACCACATACATCATTCGTGAACTGTTGGGACAGAACAGCACTGCTGTTTTTCATTATACTTGTCCGCGATTTCGTATCAACGTTGAAGATTTCCGCGCTGTTGCTCGTGCCTGAAACACACACATTACAATTGCACCACAACAATGACGTATCTGAATAATCCGGTTGAGCAAGGAACAAAAAAAGCAAGAGAGAACGTAAAAATTTCGAGATGCAAGAGCTCATCGAAGATCAAACAGAGGTAAGCAAAGTTGGAAAAAAAAAAAAAAAAAAGAAGCAGAAGATCCATGCGGAGAGCACACCCCACACACGGAACACTGAAGTCTCTTGACATGGATCTTCTGCTTCTTTTTTTTTTTTTTTTTCCGTCTTTGCACCTCCAATAAATGAATACAACAACAGAGTGGCATTCCTAGATATGATGGGTCGGCCTCCACTTCTCTCCTATACAACCTACACAAACTAGCCTACTACCTCTCACTCTCTCTCTCCACTCTTACTCTCTTCAGATGCCGGCGCACACTCTTGAAAACATAGGTGTTCCTTGGCCAATGACTGCAGTTTAAACAGTTACGCAAATTGTTCATCTTATTAGGGCATACATACTCACACTAAGACTTACCTGGACTTGGCCGCAATTACAGCTAGATTCAGTCAAAAAACCTTTTTCCTGTGAGCCTGTCCTTGCTTCTCAGCCAAACAGCCAAGTTGCCCTGGCCTCCATCCAGCCTCTCACATTACCATCATGATTACCTCCATCACCCCTGCCAGATTACCATCATTAAAGGTTTGGACTCCACCCAGCCTCATCATACACACACACACACACACACACACACACANGTGTGTGTGTGTGTGTGTGTGTGTGTGTGTGTGTGTGTGTGTGTGTGTGTGTGTGTGTGTGTGTGTGTGTGTGTGTGTGAGTGAGAGAGAGAGAGGGAGAAACAGGGGATTCACTATGCGGGTTTAGCATCTTCTTAGCTCTCAAAAAATAATGATCTTACCGATCGCAACATCTGATCCGTTTGGACTCGCTTCCACAGTCCACAGCGTTTGCTTCACAAACTGGTAAACATATAGGCCCATGATAACCTGCATGTCTGGACTAGGCTGATACGCCGCATCCACCTGGATCACAAAGAGGCGTGCCGGCACATCACCACAGCCCATGCTACTTCCTCTGCAGCATGCCCACAGCCACCAAGCCCCCCCCCTCCCCCCCAAAACACAAAATTCAACCACCGGCAAGTCCCCCAAAAAAGTCAAAAGTAGCGAACGGTGTGGGACACGAGGAAACAAATCAACGGATTTAGCCCCCCATGTCAACAGAGGGAAGATAGATAGATAGATAGATAGAGAGAGAGAGAGAGACACACACAGAGAGAGAGAGAGAGAGAGAGAGAGAGAGAGAGAGAGAGAGAGAGAGAGAGAGACCAGAAGGGTGGCAGTACCGCCTGTGTGTGGCACACTCGTCAGCATAGTAGCTGCCAGCTGACGGCCCGATCTGCTCCTAAGAACAGACATAATCAGGTATCGGAAAACCCTTTTTCTGATTATTAAATCTTTTTTTTTTTTTTGGGTCCGGGGCAGCATGGGGGAGTTGGTGGTAGCACCTCCCACTATCGTATCCAACAGGATATAAAGTATTATAAACTCACATAACATAATTTTTTATTTTTATTTTTTAAGTAATTTGTTAACCAAGTGTACCACTCACCCACCAGGCGGGACACAGAAACGCATGGTACGCAGATTATGGGCCTCTTCTCCAGTACTGACCAAATGTGAAAGAAGACAAAAAAGATGGCGGTGTATCTTCCCATGTTCTAGCAAAAGATTCATTCTCATTTGGCCCATTTGGTGAGTAGTGGAGTGAGGCCTTGCATAATCGCTCTTCCGCTCCTATTTCACTTTTTTTGCTCTCTTTCCTTCTTCCCCTCCTTTCCATCTTTCACCTTTCTTTCCTTCTTTCACTCCTCTTCCTCCTCCTCCCCTCCTCCTCCTCGTCCTCCTCCTCCTCCTCCTTTCCCCCTCCTCCTCCTCCCTCCTTTTCCTCCTCCTCCCTCCTCTTCCCCCTCCTCCCTCCTCGTCCTCCTCCCTCCTCTTCCTCCTCCTCCTATCGATAAATCTTTGATAGGGTGGTGGGGTTGGGTAGGGTTGCGGGGCTGGTTGTGGAGCTGGTTGGGGGGCTGGATATGAAGTTCAGGGGGAGGGGGCCGGGGGGATGTGGGTTGGGGATTTGGGGGGTTGGGGGACAAACTTGCAGACGAAATGACAGACACCTTGACACCTCGACACCTTGACACCTTGACAGACTTCCCTCCATCCCAGGACGTAAAAAACAAAACAAAAAAAAGGAACACAGAAAGTTCAGGCCAAAATTGAGTAGACCCATAACCAACGCATGTCAGTGGTGGAAGAAGAAGAAGAAGAATAAGAAGAAGAAGAAGAAGAAGAAGAAGAAGAAGAGGAAGAGGAAGAAAAAGAAGAAGAAGAAGACAATAAAGAAGCAGAAGAAGAAGAAGAAGAAGAATGCAGAGAGGAGGAGAAGAAGAAAGAGAAGAAGATGATACTGACCGTGACCCCATTGAAGAAGATGGGCTCACAGCTACTCTAGAGCATGGGGGCAGCTGCAAGGCGATCGTCGAGGGCTCTGGCTCTCTGGAGGACACACCGCTGTTCACATTCCGACCGCTGCCCGCTTTGAGACAGCAGCCAGTGTTTTTGTCAAACCCGGCACCGACAAGAAGAAGGATGGGCTTGCCAAAAACACGGCTCCCACGCCGGTGCGGCAAAGCTGAACCCTCCCTAGGCCCAACCAGTACCCCAAAAGTCCGACCTTGGGGCTTTCGTGGCACCACAAAAAAAGTAAGGCAGGCCGATCAACAGCCAACGGGCCGTCAGTGGCGATTGTTGGAACACTCGGCTGGTCGGTCCCTGACCGTTTTGGGCCCGCCTACCGTTGGCTGTGCAACACTGACCAACACCAGATAAAGAGGGACATCAGACCCCACTCGATGGATTTTCGTAGAACAAAAAAGGACGGACAATGGAAGTAATAAACATGGGCAGCAAAAGTTTTGAGCTGTGACCAAAAAAAAAAAAAAAAAAAAAAAAAAAGTTTAAGCTTTGGACCTCACATCACTCTTTGTTGCTCGACCGGAGACGTCACCCACCATCTCCGCAATGCGGTAATGCTCGATCCAAATGTCCACCTGAAAAGACTGCGGGACGCCCGAAGAGGCGGTCCATCCGCTTTTCGATTACTTGAAACCCCACCAGCATCCCCACCTGACCATTTGCTGTCATTGCTGCCTCCATCTCTACAAAAGAAGCGCAACCCACCTCACCCCATCCCACCCCACCACACCCCCCCCCCACACACACAAAAAGACAAATGAGAAAAGAATAAGCAGACTTCCTTAAAGCATAATACAGTGACGGATTGACGATCACTTCGTTTCGGAGTCCATTGACAACGCCGCATTCAACCCTCGACCGTCTTCCGCTGAACAGAACGTACGGTCATTACAGCTGTATTAAGGGCACTTTCAGTCTAGATACAGCAATTATGGCCGTACGTTCCATTCCGGTGAAGACTATAGAGTCCAAGATACAAAAAGCAATACCTATAGCATAGTATCACTGCTCCAAATGTTGTTTCTTTTTTTTTAAATACAGATTTGCTGAATATCACATCATCATCTGTCAGCTTGGAATACTGCCTCGAGCTGAGAGCAAGCGAGAGAAAAAGCAGCTGACCTCTCCTCCCCTCTCGCACTTTCTCACTATCGTCAACATCACCATCATCAGCATCAGCATCACCATCAGCAGCAGCAGCAGCTTTTTTTTTTTTTTTTTTTTAACCACAACTACCTCCGAACCTCTTTCTGCCGACACTGAATTTCCCTACTTGCCGCTTCTTGCTGAACCTAGCGTTTTCACAGCACCATTTTGTT